AAATAAAATAAATTCTAGTCCTTCTGATACCATTATTTTGTTACAGACTCAAAACTTTTGCTAGTATTTAGAACCAAAACAAAAACTTTCTCCTATTCTAGAATGTCAGTCCACCATTCTAAGGCGATATTCTGCCATTCTGGAATGGCATTCCAGAAATTTTGTACCCATTCCGGAATGTGCTTTTTCCCCCTTGTAGAAAACACTCCTTGAATGTTATTGTGTTATTCATCACTCGAAGAAGTGAATATAGTTTGAACGAAACGCTCTTTGCACTCTTTCATTAGGTGGTCAAAGAACTAAAACACGCACAAAAAATGTTTTTATTGGTATGCACGAGAGATTATGAAAGTAAACATACGGGGACGTACTACGTCCATTCGTTATCTTGAAATAGCATTACATTACTTTTTTTGATAACATTGTAGCTGATAATCAAGCTCTTCAACTGCAAAAAGTGAAGAAATGACTACTTGAATTGTATCGATGTAAATCTGTTTGTTATATACGTTAAAAGAGAACGAAGGATAAACACAGTGGACGATAATATGCCCACACTGTCTATCTATTTTTCTTCTTTCGACGGATAGATGAAATAAAAAAAACATTACATGGTTACAGACGAGGAAGAGCAAAATATGAAGTCAATGTATTTGATTCTAGCTTCGTGCAACGATTTATTTAATGGGAATTTATATTCTCGCTTTCTTACTGTTTCAAGAAACAGCCTAAACCAAGTCTGCGGAAGAGAAAGAATGATTAGTTGGAAAAATTTTCCTCTACGATGTGCGAAGGAAAAATCTTGCTGTAATCTTACCGTGATCTCGTGAAACACAAACTGGAACTACTGATTTGATCAAGAACGCGATTACAATTATAAGATCGCGATTTTATTTTGTCAAGATCAGCATCTTCTTGTTATACGAGACAAAATTATGTTGGCGATCAGATCTCAGCAAAAATGAAACGGGAATGCCACTAGGGAATGCCCGCTAGCCTACTTATCTCGTTATTACGCAATATCTCTTTAATTTCATGCAAAGGGTTTTCGGAATTTCTCTTCCTTTTCTACGACTTTTTATCTTGTTGCACTCGTTAATGTACGTTAATAACGCGTTACGTACGAAGAATTAACGTGCTCCAACGTAAGAAATAAGATATCGGCGTAGCCAGCTAACGGTCCACCTTCGGATGAGAAGGTTCGAACTTTTGTTTTAACTTGAGCAAACTTAAAAATCCTCACTAGACGCAGTTTTTCACGGTGATTACATATCTGGACTCAAAAACAAAGGAAAGTCAAATCTTCGCAGTAAAAATTAAAATTTTTAAATATTAAATTTAATCTCCTGAACTAGATACTTTTTCGAAAAATTTTGAATACTATACCGTCGAATAGAGAATCAAGTCCTCTACCAAAGGACTCATTTGTTTTGAGGTTTAGATGCGAAATTTTTTATTTTTATTTTCTAAAAACAGTTTTGGGGCTTATTTTGTGAGCAATTTTATGTCCATTTAATCTAACTTTGAAAATTTATTGCCCAAACTGTAAGCTTTAATTTCGTAATTAAGCAATCATTTTAAAGTTAATTTGCACTGAATAATTTACATTTTACTGAAATACGCCGAAAAATACTTCCATTTTTTGAAATTCCGTAACGGTCTCTATTTTGACTATAACTTTTGATCCGCTTGTTCAATCAAGCTCAATCTATTTTTGGTAGTAGAACTCCCTAATATGCATCATTGGTATAAATTTCATTGATAAACGTTGCCTCTTTGCCGAGATAAGGGGGACAGAAGACGAAAAACATGAAATTCCGTAACATTTGGCCAAGCCGATATCCCGCTAAAACGCGCTATTTGAACGATTTAATGCCCGATACAATCTGTTAACGCGTTACAACAGTATAAAACCTGTGCTCCGTCACAACGCTTGGCACTTTTATCGATGAATTGTATCACTTTAACGCTGAAAAAATATTGGGAAATAATTTATTTGCCACGCATTGGGATACAGAAGAATATTGCGATAAATATTGTCTTTATTGCCTTAAATAAATTTATCTAGCTTTATTGAGCTAAAATATATTTGCAATGTTCTCCAGATAATAAGTTTCATCGCGATGCATATTAGCACTAGCGCAATGCTTTACTTTACCTCGATAAACATTAGAATTATCGCAGAAAGCTTCTTTATCGGAGCAGCATTTTATCTAGGTAGAGACCGATAAATTTATTTTGCCGTGATAGTTCTAATGTTTAGCGCGATATCTCCTTGACTAGATAAAATTATCGCCTCTAATCGAGATATTTTATAGAAAAAAAAACCTCATGGGTGAATTCTCGTAAGAGGCAAATTCTTAGCATTGTGTTTACCGATAGTAAACTTAACGAAAAGAAGATGTGGGCGACTTCCCCAACGCAGGATAACTCTGAGTATTTGGGGAATTCAGTCGTTTAGGTAACAGCTATTATCGATTTTTGTGGCACGTATTCTTATTGCATAGGAAAATACATTTGTCACGGAAAAAGTACTGAAGATTTCTCGTAAACACGGCGGTGCCTTAGAAGCGTTGATGTTGGAATCACTAGCTGACATCAGAGAAATAGCCTTTACAAGATGCTGAAGAAGAAAGTTACAAAACTTATCATAGTACAGGTTACGAGAACGTGGTGATTGATACATATTACACGCAAAGTATTAAAAATAACTCAATCTGCTTTCTTTTCAGCGTGTGTTCAACACTCTTCAAATACAGTACGGTCTCTTTTTGATCTCACATGGATGTTTGTCAGATGAACAATGGTGCACCTCGACTGTGCGCTTATCAGCATAACTGGGCGCATGTTTCAAGCGAAATATTAAAGGGTAAACGACCTCGTAAAAGAGTGCACACATTTATAAGTGACACTTTAAGTGCCATGCTTATTTTTCTGTTTTGAATAAGGTTTAAGCAATAGTGATTGCTAATTTTTCCTTGTTATGGGGAAAAAAAAGTAAGTCATTTTGCTTACATTCGCTTACAAAATTACATGATATTGAATGTTTATGTTGCTTTGTAAAAAGATGCATGAGATCTTTTTTCTCGTACCCATTTTAATGCACATGCATGTAGTAGGACTATTAGGCCGGGAGCTAATGCCTAACTAATATTCTTCCTTGATAATTGCCCTTGTTCAACTTTAAACGTTCGCTTTTGTTTCAACTATTTCCACAAAAATTTTGTTTCAAACAATCCACAACGTTTTTTCACCAAACTGATCGTTTTTTGATGTTCGATACATATCAACGGTTTCGTCTTTTATTTTGTTATGAAACAAAAATATCTGTTATTGTCAACTTAACTAACGGGAAATCAACATTCTTGTTCTCTTCAAAACAAGGAACGAAAAATACTGTAGACGTTCCACATCATTGATTTATTCCTGTTATTACTATACGTTTGTGTGTTGCTTTAATTTATTTTCTTATTCGAAAATTTGGAGTTAATATCTTTTATACTTCAAGTGTAATATTCACACATAAAAAGGTAACGTGCATCCATTTTATGACCCATCATCATATTTTTGGCTTTTTTAGAAATATGGTTTCAATACATCAAGTTTCAATCTTTCTTATTTGTTTAACTTGTTTAATACCAGTATCTCAAGCAAAAGCATTCGTATGTTATGTGGATGGTTTTTTTTTCAAATTTTCAAAATACTGGAAGGGTCTAGAACTTGATAAAACCGTGAGATTATGAAAAATATTGATTATTTTTTTCCTATTAAGTGCTATAAACTTTAATTCCGAGTTCAGCGCACGAAACTGAGTCTACAAGTGTTATTTTGAGCTCGACCATATATAACATGTCCAAAATGAAATTTCATATTTGGTGACAGTCTAAAGCACGCGAAGAAATTTTCAAAACCTGTATCTAATCTTTTCTGTTAGGAGATATAAGCTTGATTTATATCTCATTCAATTCGTGTTTAGGCAAACAAAAAGATATGGATCGTTTTTCTTGAAGCTCCTCTACATCACTGAGAAATATCACTTTCTCCGTATATATAGACAAAAAGGGCAAGTCATTTTCTGGCAAAAGTTTTAGTTTGGAACCAAGATCTGTCAAATTAACGCAGCATAGACAAATTTCAACGCTGAATTCAATAAACATACTTTTAGAATCTTTAGAATTTTTTCAAAGAACCTCTGGAAAACGTTTTCATAAACGACAAGTACCCAGCAGTATATTGTAACTTAATAAGTTTTCTATACGTTATTTATGTTTGCTGTCCCATTTTAAAAATATTTTGAAGATGCTCAACTGTACACAACTGTTAAAAAAATATAAATACTTGAGGTAGTGCTAATATCAAACTAAAACACACAGAAAAAAAAAAAGAGTTTAGTTATCAATATTACTGTTCTTTATCATACTGTGAGATGACATTTTCTTTACATAAACTATTGAAAAACATTATTAAAACTTCTTTATAGTCATTTCCTTCATTATATGTATACAATGTTCTCCAGAACGTCTAAACAGTTTCATATAAATCTCTTCTTCAACAAAATTTGATCTCGAGTGATCAGTTAATTAACATGTGATCAGTGTAGCGCAGGGGTGTAACCGGTATCAAAAATGCGATACCGGTAGCGGTCATCGGTATACAAACGTACCGGTACCGGCTTGTTCTGATCATATTTTGCCTCAATAAAAATACTTTTTCCTTGTTTTTCTTTACTGTGAACTTTATTTTATGCTATCAAAGAGATAGATTAATCTTTTCATTTTGTGTATGTATGTATAGCTGATTTTTCACACGCTTTTTTTTAACGAAAATAGCAATTTAATTCAATCTTTCAAATTAAGAAGTTTATATTAGTCGACAAAGTTTAAGTAATTGGAATGAAATTTTAGTGCAAGAAATATGTCACAGATGAACTGAATTTACACGTAATTCGTACCGATACCGGTATCGGAGTACAGACCGGTTGCACCTCTAGTCTAGTACTGTCGTCCACAGGCCTAAGTCTCAAGTGGATATTAATTTTATTTTTATTCAATCTCAGAGAAAAAGTGTTCACATTTTTACCCGACAAAAAAAAATCAAATGCTGACAAGCTTTTTCATAAAAAAGTGTTTTGCTCAAGAAAGTGGAGCAATTTTTTTCAAAGGTTGAGAGTACTCTCTAGTGTTTTGATAGACTTCGTCCACTAATTTGGAAATAATAAATGATTTTACTGATTGTTAAATTTTTTGACTTTATATCTTTCTTAAAAGGATAACACGAATTATACTAATTTAGGCATCAGAAGCAGAACAAACATCATTTAAAATGGGAAAACGTAAACGTATAGCACTTGTTGCACATGACAATAAAAAGCCTGAGCTGTTAGAATGGGTTAAGCGTAATCGACAACAGTTATTACATCATGAATTATACGGTACAGGAACAACTGGTAAATTAGTTGAACAAGAACTGAATACAACGGTCATTAAATATAAAAGTGGTCCATTAGGTGGAGATCAACA